TTGACTGTAATACTTTCTTCTTCTTTTTTTGAGGAAGTGCACAAGTTGAACTATGTTGAAAATTTATAAAATTTTAAATCGCCAAACCGATTCGCATCCATCTGTCAAACCGCCAATCCACTCAATCCAGATCCGCCGGATTGCGGATTGATTTTCTCCAATCCGCCAATCTGGCGGATGGATGGCGGATTGGAGGTTCCATGGCCACAACCGACCTACGCCCACCTCTAGTACCGACTCATTGGTAATGCGAGTTCTACACCAAGCACCTTGCAAGCACATTAGTTTGTGAGCGGCAAGGCAGGCAGGGTAGATCCTTATCGCATCATCCGGGTTGGTCCTTGGACATAATGCACAAGGATACGCAATACCACTCATGGAGCCGGTTTCTCAGATAGATGACAAGCGCCCAGTTCCTGACATCATGTTTGCTTTAGAAAATAACTTGGGATTCATAGTCCCTGATATTACTAATCCTATGGCTATGAAATTTATAGAATTAGCCACATCACTTCACCTAATGGTAAGAAACAATCCTATCCTCTTATCCAATCTTATATCCACTCCAAATCAAATATAGAAAAAACACTATCATGGTATTACTAATCACATCTTCATCATAGGTATTACTAATCTCATCCATAATCCCGTGGTATTACAAATATGGTCAAACCCTCCAAAATCTATATGGTTAATAAACATGGCCATTGAGGGTACAACAATCATGAGATTGCTAAATATAGTATTTTTAGAAATTTTTTGGAGGTATGTAGGAGGCCATTGTTTGGGAAGATGAGCCTTGTTTTACCTTAAACCCTTGACTTTTATTAAGATTGACTAATACTTTTTTATTCCCAGTCTCAAAATAAAACTAATAGTTTACTTCAAAAATTTGAGACATAAAAATCATGAGATGTAATCCAATCATAAGGATTCAGATAGAGGATTCCAACCACAATGATTCTACTAAACTAGACTAGCCCTAAGTGGAGTTTTTTTTAATTTTTTATTAGATATTAATTCTATTAAAATTTAGTAATTTTTACATTTCAATTTGTATGTGAAATTCAATTTTCTCCTTAATTCTTATGACGTTAATTTTAGGGTTTATTTAATACCCTTATGAGGGTTATCAAATGAAAACAAATGGACCGTGCCATAAACTATATAATAAATAGAATTTATAGATTCAAACTAATGACTATGATGTACTAAAGAGGTGAAGGCTATACTAGTAAAACTTATCCTAATAATAGGTTGGAGACCTTTCTCAAAATAGGCCTTCTTATAGTCATAAATGGGAGGTTTTTTCCAATATGTGGATCCCATTTCTAATGTGAACCTTCAAAAATAATATAGCGAGAACATTTGACAAACCTATACCAGATAAGTGAAGAAGTTTTCCAAATTTGTAGAATATGTATTATGCTAATGGGTTAGGATCCTTTTTCAGTTCTTTCTTTTCTTCTTTTCACCATGTCTATTTCTGGCAATGTAATGACAAGTTAGCAAGCTGTTTTGACATCTAATTGTTGTAATTCCAAATCCATCCTAGCCACTACTGCTATTAGTATCCTTATCGAGGCAAATTTGGCAATAAGAGAATATGTACCTACAAAGTCTACTCTTGGTTGCTGAGTGAATCCCTTGGCTAGTAACCTTGCCTTGTATGTCTCCAAACTTCCATTTGCTTCGAATTTCTTTCTAAGAACCCACTTGCATCCAATAGTTTTCTTCCATTAGGGAGATCAATTAATTCTCAAACATCATTTTTCTTGATCGAGTCAAGTTCTTCGTTCATTGCAGCAAGTCATAGTGTAGTGTCATTGTTACTCATTGCTTCATTGTAACTAGTAGGATCATCTACTAAGTTATTGAATTCAACTTGAAAATCATAATGATCTTTTAAAGCAGTAAATGGATGTCTTGCTCTCTTACTCCCACTTATCTCAGAATTCGAATCATGAAAACAATGTCACTTTGTTTTCTTTTATTTACAACGTTAAAGCTCAAGTTGAAGATCATCTCCAATATATACAGCCTTCAAATCCAAGCTTTAATGGAGGATCTATAATATATATATATAGAGAGAGAGAGAGAGAGAGAAAAGAGGAAATATATATAGCGAAAGAGTGATAAAGTGAATGAAAGGAGAAAGCCTATGATATGGTAAGTGGTTGTTGCACATGCGAAGCCCTCCAATCGCACATGTGCATTTGCGCAATCCGAAATCACATTTTCTCACCCTCAACCACACGTGCAAAAGACACAGCTGCACATGCAGTAACATCCTTTGTTATTCTTCTTTCTCACCCTCAACCACACGTGCAAAAGTCACATTTTCTTCTCCTTTGTTATTCTTATTTCTTCTTCTTTGTTCTACACGAAGGCCTCAATTACACCAATTAATTCAATTTTCTAACAAGGATGAAATAGAACTGAATATAGGGTTTTGTGATGGCTAGGGGTGGAGAAAAGATTGTCATATTGGTCAACAAAGATAGTTGTGGATAAATATCAAACTTTGAGTTGGGAGAAGGGAAAAAAGGAGCCCCTCAGTGAAAATCAACGACATTTAAATTTTGGGTTGGTGTTGAATGTTTGTCATGGAAATTGGATGGTCGTAGAAGGAAAGGAGAGGTGTCAGTCCTCTAGCATTAGGATGGTGAAAGATGATGGGGTAGGTGGCTATGTTGTTGAGGTTGTGGGCTTCCAAGTAGGTGGTAGTGCTCTTAGTCCATTGTTTGTGTAGGTGGGGTGGGGGTGGTTGCTATTCAGATAGCGAGATAATTATGTTAAGAGTGGTTATAGTGAAAATAGGTTTCGGTGGGAGAGAGGAAAGATGAGGGTGTTTAAGTAATTTTACTTTAATGTAAAGTGGGTAATTGGGTAATTTGATTTTTTTTGTTAACTCCATTAAGTGGTGCTTGTGGATTTATCCTCTCCACGTCTTCTGAGACAACATTAATCGAGAATGGGAGTCTGCTTTACGTTAAGCACAGCAGCAACTGTTGCACTGTTGAACATCGCCATATTGTTCTATTTAAATACAAAAGATTCCTTTGGCCAAACGACATCATTTTGGCCTTCTACAAATCAACATCCAATTTTGGAACCCTTGTAGGTTTGGCCAATTTGCAATCGCGTACTTGAAGATTGCCTCCTCTCAATCTCCCAAAAGTAGGGGTGATAAACGAATCAAACAGTTCATGCTTCACTCGTGTTCGGCTCGTTAAAAATTCGTTCAAACTCAATTCGTTAAATAAACAAGTCAAGCTAAACACATTTTAAAACTCGTTAAAGTTTTCAAACTAACCTTGAACAATCAATTGCTTGTTCGGCTCGATCCAATAAGCCTAAAATTATATAAAAATATCAAACTACTCAAACTCGACTCAATAATTGAGATTACTTCAAAATTTTAATGAACTTAAATTTTGAAACTCGTTAAATTATCAAATCAAGCTTAAACAGTTAATTGTTTGGCTCATTTATCACCCTACCTAGAAGCCTCTTGCTCTAAACTCAATCACAAAAACCCATCTTTCTCCTCTCTTTTTCCATCCTCTCCTCTTTCCTCTTCTCTCTCCTACATATAGGCTTCAGCTATACAGAGTAGCGAGTGGGATGGTTAAAAGGAGTAATGGTCAAAATGAGTCTGGTGATGTAATCCATTATTGGGTGTAACTAAGTAGTATTCCAGTATATATATATATAGTGTATATAGGTGGTTTTTGAGATGGATTGGTAGCTAGCTTAGTTGATTATAGATTATGAAACGTGAACATCATCATTCATTTGCATACAGTACACAGGCGTGTATATATGTATAAATATTAAGTTTAGCGGGGACTGAGCGGTTTAGCAAGAGCAACTCGTTGAGAAAGAAAGTAAAAGACCAGTAGTGAGAGAAAGTAGTTTTTTTGGCCTTTGAGGATTAAACCAACCAAAACGGCATGGTGTGGCCAAAGAGGACTTTTCAAAAAGGAACAATACGGCAACGTTCAACAGCGCACCAGTTGCTAACCTCCTCATGTTTTGTCAGAGGGTTATTTGTAATATTTGGCGCATTGAGCTGAAAGGTGAACATCATCATTCATTTGCATACAGTACACAGGCGTGTACATATGTATAAATATTAAGTTTAGCGGGGACTGAGCGGTTTAGCAAGAGCAACTCGTTGAGAAAGAAAGTAAAAGACCAGTAGTGAGAGAGAGTAGTTTTTTTGGCCTTTGAGGATTAAACCAACCAAAACGGCATGGTGTGGCCAAAGAGGACTTTTCAAAAAGGAACAATACGGCAACGTTCAACAGCGCACCAGTTGCTAACCTCCTCATGTTTTGTCAGAGGGTTATTTGTAATATTTGGCGCATTGAGCGGCGCAACTGTTTCCATGAGTATCTTAGGCAACCTGCTCCTGAATAGGTGGAGCAGATTGTGTCAATGTTGGAGCAGATTGTGTCAATGTTGGAGCAGATTGTGTCAATGTTGGAGCAGATTGTGTCAATGTTGGAGCAGATTGTGTCAATGTTGGAGCAGATTGTGTCAATGTTGGAGCAGATTGTGTCAATGTTGGAGCAGATTGTGTCAATGTTGGAGCAGATTGTGTCAATGTTGGAGCAGATTGTGTCAATGTTGGAGCAGATTGTGTCAATGTTGGAGCAGATTGTGTCAATGTTGGAGCAGATTGTGTCAATGTTGGAGCAGATGCATGGGGGAGTGGAAAAACTTCCTGAGATGCAAGGGAGGTGTTTACAATTTAACCCCCCAAAAAATGAATGTAGCAAATAATTTCATTTTTCTTTCCCATTGACATATTTTGTCAAGATCCAAAAGACCTTCAGTTTGGAGCTTTTATTTGATATTGACATATTACAATCAAGTGCAAAGAATCACAATGATAATGAAAATCAAATATAATATATTATTATTCTTATTATTATTATAACTTCAAAAGCGAAAAAAAGGAACCACAATCAAATACAAGATGGACACGCAACTATTGCCAAAGTCAAAGATGGATTTCTTCTATCATGCCAATCCTTGTCAAGCTCGTTGTCACATAAATTTTGGCACATAACTTTCTAAACGAAAGAATTTTTATTTTTTTTAATACAATAAGACATTATATTTTCTTTTTTTACTAATTAATAACTACAACATTTGGTTGTCATTGCAACAGAATATTTACAATATATAACGGAGGCTCTTACCAAGTGAAGAAGAATGTAAGCTTTAAGACTAGACAAGCTTTGGTGCTCCCAACAATATTAGTGAACTGATTGATGCATATACATCATAACTTTGATCATCTATCAGATAAAACGGAATTAGTCCAGGAAAGCATGATATCCCGGGCAACAGATGGTAAATCTGCAAGTAACACAAGTCCCCCACATAAACTCAAAAAACATGCACAACAGTCACTAAAGGACATAATTAACCTCGTATGTAATTTTAACTACCAAATTAATCAGTACCCATATTTGATGAAATTTTACCTTGTGCTACTTCCAAAGCCACCGAGGGTATATCTATTTGGTCTTCAACCAGTCTATATACATCAACAAGCTATAAAAGACACATCTTCCCACGTTTGAGTAATCTCATGATTAAATTATATAGTTGACAATTTTAAAAAACAATAACAATAATCGTATTAGATTATAAAATTACCTCTTGAATGTGAAGCTTGGAGTCTTCAGTCAGAGCAAGAAGAAGTTGCCTTCGAATTCCTTCATCAACTAAGAAAAGGCGAGCTCCATCTTTGATGGTGTCTGTCAAGTCCAATTTCCTATCAACCTGCCAGTCTCTTGACGTTTGCCTGGTAAAAAGCAGAGAAAATATAATTTATAGATAATTACATAAGTCAATTGCAATGCATAGCACGATATTCTTAAGCAGATAGAAAACAACATAGCGAATGTGCCATTGAGGTACAGACGTGTTATTCACTTTCAACGCAGGGTTGCTGCTCATCTTTGCCACATTTTCCTTAGCCAGAACAATAAGATTTTCAAGCCGTTTCCACTGGAAAACACCATCTTTAAACAAAACCTAATCCATAAAGCAAATCAGAACAGAATTACAAGTTGAAAAAAACCACGAGACGGAAACTGAACAAGGCCAATAAGGCCATTCGGCAATATATTGAAGAATGATAGGTGAAACATAGAAGAAAATCTAAATAAAGTAGAGAACAAGTTCACTGGAAAGCGATTATCACACTAGCATTTTAGTTGTTGTCTCAAAGCATGTAGAACAGGTTACAGACTTCATATGAGGTTTCTAGAATTATAGTCACCTCCCTTCTTCTATACTTCTACAACCACAGAATATATATATATATATATATATACAAGCCAATTGAGCTACCTACAAAAGGGCTCCATCTTCCTCCTCCCCACCCAAACTTATCGCCCCAGTTTTATAGTGGCCTATGAGTTAGACATAAACAACCTTAAGTGATAACCTCAATTGATATGTCATTTGCACCTCAACAATGGTGAGTGCTCATGCTGCAGATTCAGCCTACAAGGAATTCCTCAATGTCGCTCATGGAGCCACATTATCTATGTCTGTCAAAAAACAAATCTCTTGTTAATAGTACCATAAGGAATGGATCATTAAGAAATGCACCTTGATGACGTTATGTTGTGCAAACTAAATATCTTATGCATCACATCCTTCCTTCGCTCTCCCAATCATCACCACAATTATAGCATCTTCCTTCTATCTATCCTGGAACTTATTGATAATACTCTTGTTTACCTATTAGATGTTTTATCTTAGGGGTAATTATGTATTTTTGACCATTTCAATATAAATACAAGTGTTCATGGGAGTGAACCCAAATTGTTTCTTATCATTCGCTTATTCTCCTCTTTTACTGTATCTCTTTTACTTGGTATCAAAGTTTAATCCTTATTGTACTGTTGAAAAAAGAGTTCATCTTCATCTTAGGATCATCTTTGTTATTCCTGATTTCTTCCTTGACATGTAAAAAAACAAAAACAAAAATCACTAGTATGCTCAAAATTGAGAGGGAAGTTCACTAGTAATTTTTCCCAAATTTTTCTAATACATTTGATATATATATATTATTTTTCTTTACTTTTTGAAAAGGGGGGGGGGATATGTGAATATTATGTAATTATGGAAATGTATCAATTAGGTTGATTGTGCATATTTAATTGATTGTAGATTGATTATATAGGGTTACTTCCTATTATAGGTTAGGTTTAGGATTGCTATAAATATTGGTTGTAATCTTTGTATTACGTACATTTTGAATGTATAGAAAAATTCAGAAATCTTACATGGTATCAGAGCTATGTTCGTAACCCTAGCTGGTTTCCGAGTCACGAATCGATAGAGTTCTCTCTCTCTTGATTTGTGATATCCTTCTTGTTCTATCTGATTTGATGTTTTGATCAGGTTCATCGACTTACGTGGTTCGCCATTAAACTTCGTAGGTACGATTTCCAGTTTGCCAAACTCATCTGAAGTTCTGATAAGGTTCATCGGCTCACATGGTTCACCGTCTCCATTGCTCTCTTGCTCGTGACCCATCTGATTCATGACCCATCTGTTCGTGGTTGGTAGGTTAAATTATCAAATCAAGCTTAAACAGTTAATTGTTTGGCTCATTTATCACCCTACCTAGAAGCCTCTTGCTCTAAACTCAATCACAAAAACCCATCTTTCTCCTCTCTTTTTCCATCCTCTCCTCTTTCCTCTTCTCTCTCCTACATATAGGCTTCAGCTATACAGAGTAGCGAGTGGGATGGTTAAAAGGAGTAATGGTCAAAATGAGTCTGGTGATGTAATCCATTATTGGGTGTAACTAAGTAGTATTCCAGTATATATATATATAGTGTATATAGGTGGTTTTTGAGATGGATTGGTAGCTAGCTTAGTTGATTATAGATTATGAAACGTGAACATCATCATTCATTTGCATACAGTACACAGGCGTGTATATATGTATAAATATTAAGTTTAGCGGGGACTGAGCGGTTTAGCAAGAGCAACTCGTTGAGAAAGAAAGTAAAAGACCAGTAGTGAGAGAAAGTAGTTTTTTTGGCCTTTGAGGATTAAACCAACCAAAACGGCATGGTGTGGCCAAAGAGGACTTTTCAAAAAGGAACAATACGGCAACGTTCAACAGCGCACCAGTTGCTAACCTCCTCATGTTTTGTCAGAGGGTTATTTGTAATATTTGGCGCATTGAGCGGCGCAACTGTTTCCATGAGTATCTTAGGCAACCTGCTCCTGAATAGGTGGAGCAGATTGTGTCAATGTTGGAGCAGATTGTGTCAATGTTGGAGCAGATGCATGGGGGAGTGGAAAAACTTCCTGAGATGCAAGGGAGGTGTTTACAATTTAACCCCCCAAAAAATGAATGTAGCAAATAATTTCATTTTTCTTTCCCATTGACATATTTTGTCAAGATCCAAAAGACCTTCAGTTTGGTACTTTTATTTGATATTGACAAATTACAATAAAGTGCAAAGAATCACAATGATAATGAAAATCAAATATAATATATTATTATTCTTATTATTATTATAACTTCAAAAGCGAAAAAAAGGAACCACAATCAAATACAAGATGGACACGCAACTATTGCCAAAGTCAAAGATTGATTTCTTCTATCATGCTAATCCTTGTCAAGCTCGTTGTCACATAAATTTTGGCACATAACTTTCTAAACGAAAGGATTTTTATTTTTTTTTAATACAATAAGACATTATATTTTCTTTTTTTACTAATTAATAACTACAACATTTGGTTGTCATTGCAACAGAATATTTACAATATATAACGGAGGCTCTTACCAAGTGAAGAAAAATGTAAGCTTTAAGACTAGACAAGCTTTAGTGCTCCCAACAATATTAGTGAACTGCTGGTATTGATGCATATACATCATAACTTTGATCATCTATCAGATAAAACGGAATTAGTCCAGGAAAGCATGATATCCCGGGCAACAGATGGTAAATCTGCAAGTAACACAAGTCCCCCACATAAACTCAAAAAACATGCACAACAGTCACTAAAAGAAATAGCAGATTTGAAGCAGGTGAGAGGTTGTATCTCGTAGGTTTTGCTTGTTCTGTCATTATGCAGAGTGGTAGCAGTGTGGGAAGTAGCAGATTTGTTTGTAGAAGTCTGGTCTGAAGCTCTCTCTCTGGTTCCAGTGAAGCTCCTGTAAGCCTATACAGATGCTGACTGGGCTGGGTCATTAACTGATAGGAGATCAACTTCAGGGTATTGCACATTTGTTGGCGGCAACCTAGTTACTTAGAGGAGTAAGAAACAGAATGTGGTTGCCAGGTCAAGTGCAGAAGCTGAGTTTAGAGCTATGGCACAAGGTGTGTGTGAACTTTTATAGATCAAATTATTGTTAAGTGATCTAGGTATTGCTCAGACGGACTCCATGAGGTTATACTGTGATAATAAGGCCGCCATCAACATCGCTCACAATCCAGTTCAACATGACAGGACAAAACATGTTGAGATTGATCGCCACTTCATTAAGGAGAAACTCACTAATGGTACCATTTGTACTCCTTTTGTCCAGTCTGGTGAACAACTTGCTGACATTCTCACCAAGGGAATTGGGAATAAACCATTTCATGACATATTAGGCAAGCTGGGCATGAGAGATATCTTCGCACCAGCTTGAGGGAGAGTGTTAGCATATTAGCCGAAAGTCACTTAGCATATTATATTAGCCGAAAGTCACTAGGGTCTGTAATCATTATGTCCTCAGGGATCATCTTGTAATTGTCTTCCTTGTAAACCCTAAATCTTCATTTATAAATAAGGGGTGATATCTCATGATACCCTAAGCTGGTTACTCAAGCTTCACAAGTTACAGACTTCATATGAGGTTTCTAGAATTATAGTCACCTCCCTTCTTCTATACTTCTACAACCACAGAATATATATATATATATACAAGCCAATTGAGCTACCTACAAAAGGGCTCCATCTTCCTCCTCCCCACCCAAACTTATCGCCCCAGTTTTATGGTGGCCTATGAGTTAGACATAAACAACCTTAAGTGATAACCTCAATTGATATGTCATTTGCACTTCAACAATGGTGAGTGCTCATGCTGCAGATTCAGCCTACAAGGAATTCCTCAATGTTGCTCATGGAGCCACATTATCTATGTCTGTCAAAAAACAAATCTCTTGTTAATAGTACCATAAGGAATGGAACATTAAGAAATGCACCTTGACGACGTTATGTTGTGCAAACTAAATATCTTATGCATCACATCCTTCCTTCGCTCTCCCAATCATCACCACAATTATAGCATCTTCCTTCTATCTATCCTGGAACTTATTGATAATACTCTTGTTTACCTATTAGATGTTTTATCTTAGGGGTAATTATGTATTTTTGACCATTTCAATATAAATACAAGTGTTCATGGGAGTGAACCCAAATTGTTTCTTATCATTCGCTTATTCTCCTCTTTTACTGTATCTCTTTTACTTGGTATCAAAGTTTAATCCTTATTGTACTGTTGTAAAAAGAGTTCATCTTCATCTTAGAATCATCTTCGTTATTCCTTTTTCTTCCTCGACATGTGAAAAAACAAAAACAAAAATCACTAGTATGCTCAAAATTGAGAGAGAGAAGTTCACTAGTAATTTTTCCCAAATTTTTCTAATACATTTGATATATATATATTATTTTTCTTTACTTTTTGAAAAGGGGGGGGGGATATGTGAATATTATGTAATTATGGAAATGTATCAATTAGGTTGATTGTGCATATTTAATTGATTGTAGATTGATTATATAGGGTTACTTCCTATTATAGGTTAGGTTTAGGATTGCTATAAATATTGGTTGTAATCTTTGTATTACGTACATTTTGAATGTATAGAAAAATTCAGAAATCTTACATGGTATCAGAGCTATGTTCGTAACCCTAGCTGGTTTCCGAGTCACGAATCGATAGAGTTCTCTCTCTCTTGATTTGTGATATCCTTCTTGTTCTATCTGATTTGAAGTTTTGATCAGGTTCATCGACT